ATACTTGAATACTAATACTACAACTACATGACTACATCCTAACTGCTACTTCGTTACTGCAATACTACTACGGCAGTTCGGGACTGCTGCATTACCGCAGCAATGCTACGACTACAGTGCTACAGTACTACTATTACGACAATTAGTATTAGACCACTGCTACGACAATACACTCGTATTTCTACCGTACGCTACTGCACTATTGCTAGTACAGGGCTGTAGCCGTCGAGTAAAACGACCCGAACAAACAAGTGCACGAGTGAGACAGTGATGGCATACATCACCCAGTACAGACAGTGCTAGCAGTACTACTACTGCTGCTGCTGCTGCAACTACAACTACTACTGTACTGCTACAGCCGCAGCAACACTGAATTCGAATTGCTACGACTGCTACGGTGGGTGGACAAATTATCCCGGCAAAGCAACCTAACAGCGATGTGTAGGAGCATATCTGGAAGCATTCCCCTGAAAATTCAGATGATAATCCACTTGTAGAATTCTGCTGTTCTCGCAGTCGTAGTCGCATTCGCGATGACAGTCGCAGTGGCAACGGCAGTCGCAGTCACAGCCTCAGCCTCAGCCTGCCTCAGCCTCAGCCTCAGCCTGCCTCAGCCTCAGCCTGCCTCAGCCTCAGCCTCAGCCTGCTTCAGCCTCAGCTCAGTCTGCCTTCAGCCTCGGCCTCAGCCTCAGCCTGCCTCAGCCTCAGCCTGCATCAGCCTCAGCCTCAGCCTCAGCCTGCCTCAGCATCAGCCTGCCTCAGCCTCAGCCTCAGCCTGCCTCAGCCTCAGCCTCAGCCTGCTTCAGCCTCAGCCTCAGTCTGCCTTCAGCCTCGGCCTCAGCCTCAGCCTGCCTCAGCCTCAGCCTGCATCAGCCTCAGCCTCCTCAGCCTGCCATCAGCCTGCCTCAGCCTCAGCCTCAGCCTGCCTCAGCCTCAGCCTCAGCCTGCTCAGCCTCAGCCTCAGCCTCAGCCTCGGCCTCAGCCTCAGCCTGCCTCAGCCAGCCTCAGCCTCAGCCTCAGCCTCAGCCTCAGCCTCAGCCTCAGCCTCAGCCTCAGCCTCAGCCTCAGCCTCAGCCTCAGCCTCAGCCTCAGCCTCAGCCTCAGCCTCAGCCTCAGCCTCAGCCTCAGCCTCAGCCTGCCTCAGCCTCAGCCTGCTTCAGCCTCAGCCTCAGTCTGCCTTCAGCCTCGGCCTCAGCCTCAGCCTGCCTCAGCCTCAGCCTGCATCAGCCTCAGCCTCAGCCTCAGCCTGCCTCAGCATCAGCCTGCCTCAGCCTCAGCCTCAGCCTGCCTCAGCCTCAGCCTCAGCCTGCTTCAGCCTCAGCCTCAGTCTGCCTTCAGCCTCGGCCTCAGCCTCAGCCTGCCTCAGCCTCAGCCTGCATCAGCCTCAGCCTCAGCCTCAGCCTGCCTCAGCCTCAGCCTGCCTCAGCCTCAGCCTCAGCCTCAGCCTCAGCCTCAGCCTCAGCCTCAGCCTCAGCCTCGGCCTCAGCCTCAGCCTGCCTCAGCCTCAGCCTGCATCAGCCTCAGCCTCAGCCTCAGCCTCAGCCTCAGCCTCCTCAGCCTGCCTGGCCTCAGCCTCAGCCTCTCAGCCTCCTCAGCCTGCTTCAGCCTCAGCCTCAGTCTGCCTCAGCCTCGGCCTCAGCCTCAGCCTCAGCATCAACCAACCTCAGCCTCAGCCTCAGCCTCAGCCTCAGCCTGCCTCAGCCTCAGCCTGCCAGAGCATCAGCCTCCGTCTGCCTCAGCCTCAGCCTCAGCCTGCTTCAGCCTCAGCCTCAGTCTGCCTTCAGCCTCGGCCTCAGCCTCAGCCAGCCTCAGCCTGCCTCAGCCTCAGCATCAGCCTGCCTCACCATTCAAAATGTGGCCCGGGAATGGAGTTCTGGGAACTCGGAAGAACACGAAGTGGCCTACAGTTGGCTCCGGGCATTCAAAATCATGCCCAGGAATGGAGTTCTGGGAACTCGAAGACCACGAAGTGGCCTACAGTTGGCTCCGGGCATTCAAAATCATGCCCAGGAATGGAGTTCTGGGAACTCGAAGACCACGAAGTGGCCTACAGTTGGCTCCGGGCATTCAAAATCATGCCCAGGAATGGAGTTCTGGAAACTCGAAGACCACGAAGTGACCCACAGTTGGCTCCGGGCATTCAAAATCATGCCCAGGAATGGAGTTTTGGGAACTCGAAGACCACGAATTGCGTTACTGTTTCTTTAAAAAGGAGTCCCCGGCACCCGTCCCCGGATCCCGCCCAGACCCCCCAGGAGAGTCATGATGCTCTCTTTTGACCCTACTAGAAACCTATCAGTCTTCGCTGTTAGGTAAAAAAGTCCACATCCATCGCGCCAATATGATGCGACATCGAAGTGCGTCGAACAAATATCCATATCCCCCGCCCCACCCAACCCAAAGTTGACGGGGTTGGGTACGAGGCAGCGCGCGGGGGACAAAATGCGGACAGTTCAACTTTGGGTTTGGGGGTGAGAGGGGGGGGGCCACATGTACATTGCAATTGTCGTTGCCATCATGTCTGATTATCTTCGCGACGTCGGCGTGGACGCTTTTTGTCCGGGCACCGTACGGAAAGGATGGCAACGCATCGGAAGTGGCTGCTGTAGCTTAGGACGGGAGGTGGACGGGCAGGGGGCGGCTGCCGAGGGAGGGGCGGCGGGAGGCGCACGGAGGCGAAGAGAGAGAAAGAGAGAGAGATAGAGATAGAGACGAGAAGCGGCGCGGAGGAAGAGCAGAGCGGGTGCACCGCGCCGACACCAGCTGCAAGCAGACGACGCCCCGTCACCAAGAAAACAAACATCTTGAAAACGCAGGGTGGGATTCGACTCCTGATCCCACGCCACGCACCCCCAAGACCTGGAGAACTCGCGCAAAGCTTCGCCCGCGCGTCGCATAAGACACGAAAAATAATTCCAGTTTCCCGGCGGGAGCGGTTTCAATGTCAGTTCCCGCCCCCCCCCACCTGCGATCAACATTTCACATCGTAGAGGTATGCATGCTCACTTCGAAGTCGCGCCGAATTCGCAAACCTTGCGCGAGTTTGACAACCAGAGCCGAGGCAGATACCGATTAGTTGAACCATCGCGCGCGCGTTGTGAGCGCTCAAATTGCGCCATAACGTATAGCGCACAATAAGAGCCGCAACAAGAAAAACGGAAACCGTGGGGTTCGAAGCCCACGCTTTTGCTGCCGAGTGCGCGGTTCGGGCTGTTGCTCGGGCTAGGGCGAGGGGTGTACATCTAGTTGCAAACTCGCATGCAATTTGTTTTGCCCCTGCCCATCCCCGCCTCCGCGCTATCCGACAGCCAATGTCTAGGAGCGAATTAAAGAGGGAGCGGAAAGGCTGGGCAAGGGGGAAGGAGGGCAGGAGGGAGCAGGGAGGAAGATCTGACCCTAGCCATCGATGGGCCGTCCCAGAAACTCTTGGGCGCATGACGAAGGGTCTGTCTCGGGTGCCTGGTGATATCACTTTGGAGCCGCATGATTGGTCCCCAAGGCCTGTGTCGGGGTTCTCTTTGGCAACTTCCGGACCGTCATGGAGAGCTTCTTGGTCGGGCATGTAACCCTCATGGGCCATCTCCAATTCCTCTGGGCCGTCTTGCTTGCGTCTGTTTGGGAATGGTAGGAGTATGGGGATGGTGCAATCGATTTGGGGCAACGGTATTGCAAATGTGTTGTGCCGGAGAATTGTTTTGCATTGTGTTGTGAATAATAAATTGCACGCGAAGTTCCATCAAAACGTTTGCGCACAGGACTGTAATGCACGCCCCGAATCGATTGCAACCCGACGAATCTATTGCACCAAATCTGTTGCACCACCCTCTTCTCGCCGGACCTGTAGGGTCAACCAGAAGCCTGGAAGGCGAAAGACCGCATCAGGCCCGTTCGGCTATCGCGCCGGGGTTGTGAACGACAGGCCTCTTGAAACGTCTCTTCGGGTCTCTCGGGAGGCCTCTCTGAGGCAACTTGGGCGCATCTTTGAGGGCCTTGCGGGGCCTCCTGAGGGCCTCTTGGGGTTGTCGGTGGGGCTCTGGCGGCCGGTTGGGGGCATACTGGGACGTTGGGCAGTCCTTGGTGGAAAAGGCTCCCAAGGCCCCTTCGCTTTCCTCCTCTTAGGCCCCTCTTGGGATCCTCTTCGGATCTCGGCGCCTCTTGGGCCGACTTGCGCGACGGGAAACAAAAAGAAACTGAGAATACGGAAGCCACTTGACATTGCATGAAAGAGTGATGTATGCCCGTTGGGACCAGCTTGGAGTCTTGGCGACCTCATTGGGCCCACTAGGGCCATCTTGGGAGCCTCTTGGGATGTCTACAGCGATCTTCGGCGTATTGGGGCGTCCTCGGGCCGTCTCAGGACCATCTTAGACCGTCTTGGGGCCCTCTTGGAAGGTCTTTGGCGCTCCGGGGGGGCCTCCCGGGGCAACCTGGGGACGCCCTGGTGAGGCTCCCAGTATAATATGAGAGAAGCAGTCAGAGGTAGCGCTGCAGGCGCCGAGGTCGTCGAACTCATGTAAACAAGTCGGGGGGCCACGCACGGAAAAGTGTCCGCCGCCCGTTCCCTATCCTCGGTCCCCCCTCCTCCTCATCATCACCATCATTCGTCGCAGGCGTTCAAGGCGCGAGGGGGGGCGGCACGGACAGAGGGCCCTGACCTTCCAAGACGATTCAGGCAACACCTGCCTCACCTGCAGCGTATCCGGCCCTTGCTTCTGCTACGGTGAGATGGAGGCCCGTCGACCTATAGAGGAGGAGCGCATGGCCCCGCAACTGATGATTCGTGGGGGAATTGCAGGCCAATTGCGGCTCCTCTGCCTGCGCCCAGGATCCCGCGTCTGGGGGCGGGAGGCGCCTCGTGTTCATCGCCGCCTCCGCTGCACACGCTATTCGTGCAAATGCGTTTGCTGGGTATACCCCAGCGCTGCGGAGCTGCAGCACTGGGAGGTCAGGGGAGGCGGGCAGCCCCCCCCCCCTCCCCCCGCAACAACAGAGCGTGAGGCCTTGGCCATTCGCTCCAGGTACTGCTTCGAGATCGCGATGTTCTCCTCCAGCGGCTCCTCCCGGGGCGGGGCTGTGTCAATCTTACGTGTAGTCTGCCCTCGCAGAGGATCCCCGTCAGCACTCCTCATGAGAAGCGTCTGAACCCCCTGAAGCGCGCATGATGGACCAGCGTGCCTGTGCTGAGAATTGTTGCGCTGCGCTTCTTGCGTTGATCGTGCAATCGCTCGCTGATCAACAAGAGGCGGCACAAGGGACATCTAACGGCTGCCACCCACTTGAAATCGAACGGCTACTCTTGACGTGCTACAGAAAACTATGTTTCGGGCGTGCACGGCCCGCACTTCCTGCATCTGAGCGTGACCACAATCACCCAATCATACCGCTTGGATGAGCGAACCTTCGCCTTAGAACATGGACCACTGCCAACCCTCCTCTCCCGGATCCCCCCCCGTTCTCACCATCCGTCTCCCTCCTCTTCCTCTCCCCTGCTCAAGGCGGCGAAAAACAATTCATGCATCAGCCGCTTGCAAATCTGAAAAAAAAACCTGACGACTTTGGATCCTCCTTCCACAATTAGGAGACGGTAGACGGGCTGGGATAAATTATCCGGGCGAAGGACCCCACCATATGCAATTGTGACTAACGCGTTGTGGGTGCTGCTTTCGGTGAAGCTCCCTATGGGGCCACGAAGCGCATGAGGGACGTGCTGTGACGCATGCGGGCGGTGCCTCTCGCTGGAGCTCCCGATGAGGCCACGGAACACTGTACTGTGTGGTGGCGGACGCATGCAGGCGGCGCCTCTGGAGCCGTCCGCAGAGCTTCCTGCGGGGCCACGAAGCGCTGTGCTAGGTGGTGGCCGACGCATGCGGGCGGTGCCAGTGGGGGGGACGCATGCGAGCGGTGCCACTGGGGCCTTCGGTGGAACTCCGTGTGGGCCCACGAAACGCTGTACCGGTGGGGGTTCGCATGCGGGCGGGTCGCTGGAGCTCGCTACGAGGCCACGGAACGCTGTACCGAGTGAGGCAGACGCGTGCGGGCGGTGCCACCGGGGCCTTCCACGAAACGCTGCACTGGGTGGTGGCTGACGCATGCGGGCGGTCTCAATGTGACCTTCGGTGGAGCTCCCGGTGGGGCCACTAAACGCTGTACTGGGTGGTGGCTGGCTGACGCATGCGGGCGGTCTCACTGGGACCTTCGGTGGAGGGCCACGAAACGCTGTGCTGAGTCGTGGCTGACGCATGCGGGCGGTCCCAAAGGGACCTCCGGTGGAGCTCCCTATGGGACCACGAAACGCTTCACTCGGTGGTGGCGGACGCATGCGGGCGGTGCCACTGGGGCCGTCGGTGGAGGTCCCTATGGGGACACGAAACGCTGTACCGGGTGGTGGCTGACGCATGCAGGCGGTCCCACTGGGACCTTCGGTGGGGCTCCCGATGAGGCCACGAAGCGCTGTACTGGGTGGTGGCTGACGCATGCGGGCGGTTTCACTGGGACCTTCGGTGGAGCTCTCTGTGGGGCCACGAAACGCTGTACTGGGTGGTGGCTGACGCATGCGGGCGGCCTTCGGTGAAGGGCCACGAAACGCTGTGCTGGGTGGTGGCTGACGCATGGGGGCGGTCCCACTGGGACCTTCGGTGGAGCTCCCTATGGGACCACGAAACGATGTACTGGGAGGTGACTGGCGCATGCCAGCGGTGCCACTGGGGCCGTCGGTGGAGGTCCCTATGGGGCCACGAAGCGCTGTACTGGGTGGTGGCTGACGCATGCGGGCGGTAGCACTTGGGCCTTCGGTGGAGCTCCCTGTGGGGCCACGAAATGTGTGAGGGGTGCCAAAGTGAGGGGAGTGACGGGAGAAGGGAGGAGGGCGGGGAGGAGGAGGAGAGGAGAGAACGCGGGGACCGTCTCGTCAACAGGAGGACCCAACACCACAGGATGATTTTGGAAAAAATTGTCTGGCATCGGAATGTCTGCTTTGACCCTTTCTGTTCCCACCTCCTCACATCAATCAATATCCACCAGTGTGCCGAGAGACACTGGTTCTCATGTCCTCAGCGCTCCTGAGGGGCTTAACCCACAATATTTCGGGGAGCTTGAAAATTTATCTGATGTCCAGCGTGACCTTCCCACCGGCCTCAGAAGCAAGGCTCGAATTCCAATCTCCACGAATTCCTTACGATGATCCTGAAGCTTGCCTGGCTTCTTTCTCGTTGTCTCTCGGCCTCCCCAGCCCCAAGATTGGTCCAAGAGGCATTCCAAGACGGCCCAAGAGGGGCTCAAAAGGAGGAGCTCGAACTGACAATTGAGACCGTCCATCTCAAGGTGGCCGCCCCCTGGAGGCTTCAAGAGGCGCCCAAGAAGCTGCCAGGAGAGCCCTGAGAGACTTGCAAGAGGTCCGCAAGAGGCCTCCAAGATGCCCCCAATAGGTCGGCAAAGATACCTCAATAGGCCTCTAAGAGGCCTGTTGTCAACGACGCAGGCGCGATGGGCTGAATGTCACTGTCCGTTGCCCCCTGAGCTTGTCACAATGGTGCTTGGCTTGCCACTGTTTTCAAATCGTACTTTCAAGCTTGGGAGTGGCCTCCGGCATCCGCTGGCCCTGCGGAAAGATCAGGAGCGTTGCCCAAGACTGCCAAAACAGCCCCAAAATGGCCTCCAAGACGGCCGAGATGGCCCAATATGGCCTCCAAAACGGTCCCACGTCGCTTACAAGACGGCCAACACTGCCTCTAAGACGGCCCAAGATGCCCTCCAGACGGCCCAAGAGGCCCCCCTAAACCAGCATCATTAGTTTTCCCTTTGGTTGTCAACGATTTCAGCGTTCTCGTCTTGTCGGGCTTCCGACGCCCCAAGACGGCCCCATAGGCCCCCAAGATTCGCCCAAGGCGGTCCAGGAGGCCCCAAGGAGCCCCCAAGAGACACGCAAGACGGCCAAAGAGATCCCAGAGACGACACAAGAAGGCCCCAAGAGGGCGCCACAGACCTCCAAGACAACCCAAGAGCGCCAAACAAGGGACCCACGACTGCCCAAAGGTGCCCCCAAGCCGGCCTTCGAAGAACAAGACGTCCCTTGGAGGCCCCAAGAGGCCTTCAAGAGGACCTAAACACCATATCTTTTTCTGGTTGCGGGCGCTAGCGGTCCACATTTGGCGGTCCGCAGCTGATGCCGGCCACCTGGAACAGATGCGCTGGCCCACACGCACACGCCGCATTCGGAATGATGGCGCGGCGAGGGAGGAAAAAGGAGGGGGAAGGGGAGGGAGAGGGAACGGGAGAGAGACGGGGAGAGGGAGGGGGAGGGAGGGAGGGGAGGGAGGGAGGGAGGGAGGGAGGGAGGGGAGGGAGGGGAGGGGGAGGGAGGGGAGGGGGGGGAGGGAGGAGGGAGAGGGAGAGACAGGGAGAGGGAGGGGGAGGGAGGGACAGGGAGAGGGGGAGGCGCAGGCAGGGCGAGGAGGGCGAGGCGAGGCGAGGCGGGGGGGAGGCCTCGGCGCAGGGGATCTGCGGGCGAGCGGGCGAGCGGGCCGTCGGCTCACCGCCGCCGGGGCCCGACCCCCCCCCCCCCCTAGCCTAGCAGCACGCCGGCGCGGCGGCGCGCCCCGACGTGGCGGCGCGCCCCGCGCTCCGAGGGCCCCGACGGCGGGCCTCCGATCGGGGGAAGGGCGCGCGCGCCGGCAGGCACGGCTCGGGCCGCCGCCGCGGGCCCGCGCCGATCTCGCGGCTCCGCTGCGGCCGAGCCGCCCAGGGAGGCCGGTCCCCCTCCCCCCGCCCCTCCCCGGACCTGTGGGGGTGGCATGTTTGGTGCAGGGTGGCTCGTGCGTGCGTGCGTGTTTCTCGCGTTCGTTCGCTCTTGCCCTCTCCCTCCCTCAGCCCCCCTCCTCCCTCTCCTCATCGTTGGCATCACCATCCCGCCTCAATATCACCATCATCATCATCATACACGCAATCAAAACAAACAATCAAAACAATACGAGCATCATACAATCATTACTCCGACGGAAGGACCCCGCATGAGAATCCTCTGGGCGAATCTGGAAAAAGCCCTCACCGTCGTCCTCGTGGTTGGTGAGGCGTCCTGGCTGTCTCTTCTGCGTATATTTCTTTTCCCCCTGGCGCGGGCCCTCCCCCCGCTCCCTACGTTGCCCCCGACCTCGCCCTCCTGTTTTGGCTCCGGACATTCAGAAAGTGGCCCGGGAGTGGTGTTCTGGGAACACGAAGTGGCCTACAGTTGGCTCCGGGCATTGAAAATGTGGCCCGGGAATGGCGTTCTGGGAGCACGAAGAACACGAAGTGGCCTACAGTTGGCTCCGGGCATTCAAAATGTGGCCTGGGAGTGGCGTTCTGGCAGCGCGAGAGGCCAAAAAGGGCGACGGTTACAGGAATTGGAGGATCCGCTCGGATTAATAACATGATCCGCGGGCCCCATAGGGAGGGGGCTCCCGTTTGAGAGTTCCTCGCGAGTCACTCACAGAGGTGGCCTGAGAATGGCGTTCTGGCAGCGCGAGAGCCCAAAAGTGGCGACAGTTACAGGAATTGGATGACCCGCTCGGATTAGTAACATGATCCGCGGGCCCCATAGGGAGGGGGCTCCCGCTTGAGACTTCCTCGCAATTCGCTCACAGATGTGGCCTGGGAATGGCGTTCTGGCAGCGCGAGAGCTCAAAAGTGGCGACAGTTACAAGAATTGGATGACCCGCTCGGATTAGTAACATGATCCGCGGGCCCCAGAGGGAGGGGGCTCCCGCTTGAGACTTCCTCACAATTCACTCATAGACGAGGCCCAAGGCGAGTGAGTGAGTGAGTGAGTGCGTGACTGACTGACTGGTGATGATGATTATCATCACACTCTCTCACGCGCACGCTCATCATCATCATCATCATCATCATCATCATCATCATCATCATCATCATCATCATCATCATCATCATCATCATCATCATATGTGAGTGCTGATGAGTCAGTGAGTGAGTGAGTGAGTGAGTGAGTGAGTGAGGGATGATGAGTGAGTGAGTGAGTGAGGAATGAGTGATGATGATGATGGTGGGTTCCTGTTCCTGAGCGGGGTGTCCAGAGAAACAAGAACCCCACTTTGGATGTGGGGAAAACAATAAGAAACCCATACAATCAAAAGCGGCAAAACATCCATACAATTCAAACCAATCAGGCACTCATGCAATCCAATAAGAAATCCGCAAATCCCAAAACACGTAGAACTACATATACTCAGAAACAACAAGAAATTAATACAATCAGCAACTCTACGAAAACCACACAACCATAAACAATGATAAAACGTCTTGGGTCCACGGACAATGTGACGGCTCCCGATAAATAAAGAAAACGAATCAAACCCGTGAGATCTCTCAAATAAAAAATAATCATTTTTGTTCGGGACTTCGGACTTCCTCCGGGCTCCTCCAGGCCAGATCCGCCCAGACAGCCTGAAATCCCGAAAACTATATTTCTGGTCAGTGGGAACTCTCAGAAGTTGTGTTGTTTGTTTTGTTTGTTTTCTTTGTGGGCTTGTTTGGGGAACCCTCCCACGGTTCGTAGCTCTCAAGGCAAGTAAACTTGTGACTGTCATTGAACAACAGACAACGTATAGTAAAGAACATAAGACTTCTGAGGTTCCCCTAAAAAACCCTGTGAGGGCTCCATTAAAAAAAACAAAAAACAATGGTGCTCGGTACTTCTGACTTCCTCCGGGCCCCTCCAGGCCAGATCCGCCCAGGCAGCCAGAAGTCCAGAAACCCATTGATTGATGTTCTGAACCCTCACGGGTTTGTGATATATATATATATATATATAGAGAGAGAGAGATGTATATAAGTATATACACATAGTATCTTGCTTTAGACCCCTCACAGGGCTCGTAGCTCGAAAAGCAAAAAACTGTGACTGCCATAGAAAGCAAATAATAAAGCATAGAACATTTGAAACAACTTGCGCGGGTTCCGAAAAGCAGAAATTGCCGCGCGAAGGACTACTCCTCCTCCTCCTCCTCTCTCCTCCTCCTCCTCCTCCTCCTCCACCCCCTGCACGTCCTGCTCCTCCTCCTCCTCGTCTTCCTCCCCCTCCTCCTCTTCTCCCTCCTCTCTCTCTCTCTCTCTTTGATTATTTTAGCTTCTTAGTATTCTTGTTTGTGTGGATTTCTTCGTGGTTGCGCGTATGAGGAGGGAGATGATGATGAGGGGGGGAAGTGGACGAGGACGAGAAACACATACTGTGATGATGACGGTGATGATGATGGTGATGATGATGATGACGATGATGATGATGATGGTGGTGATGTGCATGATGCTGATGCGGATGATGCTGACGAGGATGAGGAGGATGAGGCGGACGAGGCGGATGGATGAAGATGAGGACGAGGATGCTGCGGGATGATGGTACTGACGATGATGACGAGGAGGATGGGAAGGAGGGATGATGATGACGATGACGATGATGCTGATCATGATGATTAGGAGGAGGAGGGATGATGATGATGATGATGATGGTGGTGGTGGTGATGATGAGGAAGGCAGCCGACTGGAATGGCAAGAAAGCCAACCCTCCTCCATTCCTTTCTCATCCTCCTCCTCCTGTCCCGTTCTTCCTCGTCGCCGTCCTCCTCCTTCTCATCATCGTCATCCCTCCTCCTCCTCCTCTTCCTCATAACCGCCCCTCCTCCTTCATTCTCGCCCTCGTCCACTTCTCCCCGGGCTCATCCTCAACATCATCGTCGCCCTTCTCACCCGCGCAACTAAACTACGAAGACATATGAAGAAATCGATACAATCAAGAACACCAAGAAACCAATACGATCAAAGAGAGACAGGGATTTAGAGAGAGAGAGAAGGAGGAGGAGGAGGAGGAGGAGGAGGAGGAGGAGGAGGAGGAGGAGGAGGAGGAGGAGGAGGAGGAGGAGGAGGAGGAGGAGGAGGAGGAGGAGGAGGAGGAGGAGGAGGAGGAGGAGGAGGAGGGCAGGACGTGCAGGAGGTGGAGGAGAGTGGAGGAGGGAGGAGGAGGAACTATCAAAAGCAATAAGAAATCCATACGATCAAAAACAATAAGAAATCCAGTCGATCAAAAACAATAAGGAAACGTCTTGGGTCCACGAACCTTGTGAGGATTCCAACAAACGAACAAAACTGTGAGGGTCCCCCAAAAACAAAAATCAATGGTTTTCGGCAGGGCTGAACCTACACGGTGTTTCTCGTGTTCGTTTTCCCTCGCTTTTGTCTCGAATCCGCCTTTACCGCAAAACGAAATCGAAACGAAAACGGCCCACGAAATCACCAAAAACACCGTTTAGGTCCAGCCCTGGTTTTCGGGATTTCAGGCTGCCTGGGCGGATCTGGGCTGGAGGGGCCCGTAGGAAGTCCGAAGTCCCGAAAGCCATTGTTGTGTCGTCTTCGGAGACCTCATAGTTGTTTGTGTTTTCGGGGAGCCCTCACAAGGTTCGTGGACCCAAGATGTTCCCTTGCTGTTTTTAACGGTCTGGAATTATTATTATTATTGATGGCATAGATTTCTTAAGGCTTTTGATTGTATGGACTTCTTATTGATTTTGATTGTATGAGGTTATGTTTGTTTTTGATGGTGTGGATGTCTTGTTGGTTTTGATGGTCTGGATTTCTGATTGCTTCCGATTGTTTGGATGTCTTATTCTTTTGATTTCGCGGAGGAGAGAAGAGATGAGGATGAATATGAAGAGGAGATGATGCTGATGCTGGTGCTGATGATGCTGATGCTGATGCTGATGCTGATGATGTTAATGAGCGTCTGCAGTCTCACCCTTACACACAAGCCATCTACACAAAAATACCACCCTTACATCCCCCCCCTCTCTTCGAGTGGCCGACCGTCGGCGGCGGAAACGACTCGGACGCATGCTCCGGCACTCGACTAGTGCTCGCTCAGGACGCTGTCGGCGCTCGACCCGGTCTCCTCCTCGGCCGACGGGCCGCCCCCAGACTGCGACGCGGAATTCTCGCCGCCGCCGGCCACCGCTTGAGAGTGCCTGCTCCGCGACATCCGCTTGAACGCCTTCTCGAGCACCTTCTCCATCCGCTCGAGTCGATCGTCATCGTCGCCCTCGGCCTCCTCCGGCCACTGGGCCATCGGCGACGTGCTGCCCCCGAATCTGCGGATGGAATCCACGGTGATGATGTTCGCGGCAGACGGCTCCAAGACCTGGATCCCGCCAGTCACTCCCATGTCTCCCTCGCCGAACTCCAGGCGGTCGTTCAGCCTCAGCGCTTCCAGGAACCTCTCCCAGGCCTGCCTCGAGACGGTGGGCACCACCTCCACGAGGATCTTTGCACGATTGAGGCGGGCGTAGCCAACCATATCCTGATACGTCAGCAGATAAGCACAATTCAGCTGCGCAATTAACATGTTGAGAAGGAATACCGCGGTGAAAATAAGGTAGACGCACACGAGCGTAAACAAGGCAGTCTCGCGGCTCAGCTCGTCGAAACTCTCGGAGCCAAACATCCGGAGGCATATCCTGAGCAAGGATAGTGCCGACACAGGGAGGCCCTCGAAGTCCGCGACCTCGTGGTCCAACGAGCTCACCGCAGCCCCGAATGTCACGACGGCGAAGGAGAAGGCAAGGCCGAAGAGCGCGACCTCGGACAGCACGCGCATGCACAGCAGCACGAACGCGGATACGATTGTATTGAAGACGGACAAGTCCAGCGCCAGCAGATAGTACATCAGCATGGCGCACATGGAGAACAACGAGTAAGTGAACCGCAGGGGATCCGCTTTGGGGCAGCGCTGCGTGAAGATGCCAGACCCGCTGAAGTCGCCGTCGAAAGAGTCCATACACAGCATCACAGGCTCGATGCAGAACATTAAGAACAAGAGAAAGGTAAGCACAAGGCTGGCCACGTCCTGCCAGTTGAGCAAGTACATGGGAACGGGTATCTGCCCAAACCACGTGAGTTCCCTGGAGGTGAAATCAAGATAGACACACTTCGTATGATAATATATCCAATGACCCATGCTGAAGATGTAGATGAAGCACCGGCATCCGAAGATGCTTCCTCGTCCAGCCATGGTGTCTTCCACTTTCATGCGGTTCAGCACCGCCTGAGAGAACACGAACACGAGCAACGTGAAAAGGAACCAAGATTTCCCGAAGAGGTACCCCCGGAAGGCGAGTTGGCTCCACAGCGTGTCCGTGGTCACCACAACCACTGGGTGGCAGATGATCCCTGGATCCTTGTTCTCGTAGAGACACTCTACCACCTCGGAAAAATCTCCGTCGGCATCCACTAGCAGATGCTTGATGTAGTAGTTCACCCGCCGCACACCGTTGCTGGCCAGCCGCGACCGCCAGATCAGGCCGTCGAGCAGCACGGGCAGCATCGCCGGCGCGTCGGTACACAATCTCCTAATGATGTCTGGATGCCGCTCGAACAGGACGTCCATGCCGTAGTAGTAGCGGTCACGGTCTGCTCGGATCGTGAGGAGGTCTTGAATGATGGCCTTGGCCGCCTCCAGGCTACCGGTCTCGATGGCCCAAAGCAGCGGCGAGATGGACTGAGTGCCAACCTGGACGTTCAGCATCCACAGCGCGCGCTTCCCCCTCGGGGCGCAGCTGACGGCTCTCCGGAGCTGCCTCTCGGAGTTCTGGTTGATGGCCTTCATCACGATGGTAGACCCCTCGGTGATCACGCGCGTGAGCACCCGCGAGATCAGGTTGAGGGACCAGCGGAAGGCCTCCTCGGCCACGTCGTCGTCCGTGAGCCCGCGCACGACGATACAGCACGCCGTCACAAACGGCGAGAAGAGCTCGGTGGGGATGCCGTAGCCCACGTGCCGCAACCCCAGCGCCGAGATATCCTCGACCATCTGCTTCGGCTCCTTGTATATTTCTAGCGTCATGGCCGTGATGCGGTCGGCTATGAAGTGCAGGCGCGTGGTAGACTGCTTGAAGTAGTCCTGCCCAGCCGGGGCCAGCTGGAAGAACTTCGAGTACACCTCGCGCCGCAATCGTGCCTGCTGCGCCTCGTCCAGGCCGCCCCAGCACTTCTCGAGAGCCCTCTCCTGCAGACGGGGCTTCCCCTGCATTGCTCTGAGCAACCTCTCGACGTTCGCCCACAGCCACGTCCAAGCCACCTCGTGCTCCGAGTTCCAACCCTTCGGAACGAGGGACCGCAGTGACGCCAGCATGACCGCCTTGTACTCGCCGAGGTCAACGCTCCCCTTGTGCTTCGCGATGCGCAGCGAGAGGATGTCACACTCCTCCTGCAAGCGGTAGGAGTTCGACACGTTCGTGACGATGGCGTCGAAGGACGAGAGCACCTCGTTCATCCACAGAGACCTCCCGTACCCCATCACAGCCGCGTTGAACATGAACATCTCCCTGTAACTGCTCGGCACGGCAGTGTTCCTCACGGTGCCGGAGGCGTCGTCAGCATGATCCGCCCCGCTGAGCCTCTGGCCGTCCCGCGAGGCGCCGCCGCTCTGGGCGTCGGCGCCACTGCGCCGCAGGAGCCGCCACATGCCGCCCGCCCCCGTGCTTCGCCTCCCCGGGGCCCTCGCCCTGGCCGCCTGCCGCTCGTCCTTCGCGAGCGAGAGGTCCGCGGCCTCGCCCGACTGCCTCGCCTCCCCCGTCGCCCGGTCGGCGTTCCGACCCTCGGTGTCGTCGGTGCCGCCCTCCTGCTCCTCGCTCCCCTCCTGCTCGAGGGCGAGCTCCTCGAGGTCCTCCTTCTTGTTGTTGGCGATCGCCCAGCTGGATGCCAGGATCTTCAGGCGGCCAGTGTACTTAACGCGGATGTAGATGTACGCTCCGCCTACATAGTTCAAGAAGGTGCACCACCCTTCTTGTGCGACCCTGGTGATGCGCTCTCCCATCTCCACCTTCAGCAGGTCGACAATGGCCTCCCTGAAGATAACCACCCGCGGAATGGTCACCTCCAAATCGAGGTGCTGGAAGCCCAGGGTCTCCACGATCACCTTCAGGTCAGTGGGATTGCCAAGGTTGCTGATGATCTGGTTGAGGCCATTCATGAACCTCATGGCCATGACTGCCCTGGGCGTCTTGAACATGCTCTGGATGCTGGGCGCGGCGTCGAAGATCGCCGAATACACGGCCTCGCCAGCTGCCTCACGCGACTCCGCAGACTTCAGGAAGCTGTTCCAGGTATCCTGCACCTGCTGGATGACGTCGGCCTCGAGCAGAAGCTCTGTGAACTCCTTGTCGTCGACTTGCGAAGCGGAAGCACCCTTGCTGATGTGAACGCCGCCGGTCTCGGCTCTAACCTTCTCCTCTTCCGCCGCGCCTCGGGGCCTGCTGGTCACCTCCTCGAAATCTCCGTGCTTGGAGTCGACTGGCATGGTGCCCAGCCGCCTCCGGAGCTTGCCCGACCCGGTCCACGCGGCAGAACGAGGCCGAGGCGGGGGTGCAGCTACAAGGTGATGGCTGCCCCTCCCCTCCCAGCCCCTTGAGCCAACATGGATGGCTACGGAGGACCTAGAAGTTATCTTGGGGCTTTCTTGGGCCCTCTTAGGGCCCTCTTGGGGGAGTCCTGGGCTAAGACATGTGCGATTGTCACCTCCTGGGGCCCTTGGGCAGCAGGTGGAACTTTATATGTATATGTGCATATAGATATTTATTCATTTATTTCATATATATATATATACACGTAGCACCCCGCAGATGCGGATAAGAGTGAGGGGACGGTGGGGACGTCAGCAGTTTGCGAAACTCTGGAGAAGCCCGCCGCAGGCACCAACGAGTCCACCGCAGGCGCCGATTTTTTCCGTTACATCAATGTGGGTAGGTCGCGGGTGGGTCGCACATGGGTCGCGGGTGTAGAGGGCAGAAAATCCACCCCATAATGATCATCCCGACAAGCGAAGCCGTTTAGTAAACGCACACCAGGAATGAATCGAACAGGGCAGGGCTGTTTTGTCAACGCCCAAGGCCGTTTAATAAACGTCAATTGTCGGGTCCGGGTAGTTGTTCCTCCCTTGAGGGTGGGTCGCGGGGTGGGTCGCCAGTGGGTCGCGGGGTGGGTCGCGGGTGGGTCGCGGATGGGTCGCGGATGGGTCGCGGGGTGGGTCGCGGGGTGGGTCGCGGGGTGGGTCGCGGGTGGGTCGCGGGGTGGGTCGCAAGGTGGGTCGCGGGGTGGGTTGCGGGGTGGGTCGCGGGTGGGTCGCGGGTGGAACGACGACGACAACAAACAAAAACAACAATAACAACAACACCAACAACACCAACAACAACAACACCAACAACACCACCACCACCAACAACAATACCACCACCACCAACAAGAACAACAACAACCATTATCACAACCACAACACCAACCACAACAACGAAAATACCAACAACAACAACAACAACAGCAACAATATCAACAACACCAACAACCAACAACAACAGCAACAACAACACCAACACCAACACCCAACAACAACAATCATTCTAAGAATTGTCGCTCTGTCTTGCGAGTTCCCCACACCCTCGATACCCGCCCTTTTTTGTCTTCGATCACACCCCCTTTGGGGGGATCCTTTCTCTTTGCGGGGGGCGGCGGGCTTAGACAAGCGGGCGAACCTGAACAGGCGGACAATCCTTCGTGGGCGTACATGTGCCCGCCATTGGAATTGGTGGGGGCCCTGCAAAAAGAGGATGGGGAGAACGAGGGAGAGCGGGAGGAAGGGAAGGGGAGGGACGAAGGAAGAGGGAAAACGCCAGGAGAGAAGGAGCGACGAGGGGGCGGTTGATTAGAGGCAGAGGGAGAAAGGGAGAGAGAGAGAGAGAGACAACAAACATGTATATATGTATAAGAGGGAGGGAAAGAGAGAGAGAGAGAGAGAGAGAGAAAAAAAAAAGGAGAGAGAAAGAGAGAGACAGAGAGAGAGACAGAAAGAGGGAGGGAGGAGGCAGGAGAGGGGAGGGAGAAGAGAGGAGGGAGAGGAGGGAGAGGGGATAAGGCACAGAGGCATGAGGATGAGGGAAGAGGAGGGGGAGAGAGAGAGAGAGAGGAGAAAGAAGGGAGGAGAGGAGGGAGGAGGGAGGAGGGAGAGGGAGGAGGAGCAAAAAGGTAAGAGCGTGAACGTTCGAGGAAATCCAGAAAGCGAAAGCGCCGTTCCTGAAGGAAGTCTCGGGCGGGAACCCACGACGGGCGGGCGATCCCCTGACGGGCGGGTCGGGAGGGTGGGACATTCAAGCGGGATGCCTGAATATGGCGAGAGCGCGATTCCGAAGTAAATTGTGACGGCGTCCTTGGCGCAGCGAGTTTCCTGAGCGTCGAAAGCGCGATCTCTGAATACATTGCATGGAAGTCACAGGCGAGAGTGCAATTCCCGAATCAACTGTGCAAGGTTCTCTTGCGGGAGCGGGGGTCTTGATTACATTGCGAAGAAAAAATAATTCCCTTACGACGAAATCTCAAGCGGGAGCGCCGTTCCCTGAGTAGTTTGTGTGGAAGTCTCAGATGGGAGCGGGGGTCCTGGCTAACTTGCGAAGGAATCATCGGCGGGAGCACCGATCCTGAGTAAATTGTGTGGAAGTATCAGGCGGGAGCGGGAGTCCTGACTAAATTTGGAAGATGTCTCAAGCGGGAGCCGCTGGTGTTGTAATCCGGGGGGCCAGGGGCACAGTTTGAGCACGAATATGTTCCCTGTCAAAAAACAGGGTGCGAAAGTCGAGGGGCACACTTTGATTTAGAAAAAACAGCATGCACTGGTGAGGCGGGATCAGCAATCATTATCCTTCAGCAATGAGAACTCAACAGCGAGAACAACACCACCAACAATAACAGCAACAATCATTTCACCCTAATGCGCGATGTTGTCACACGAAGCATGCGACCATCATAATAACCGTCCACATCATGGGAGACTCTTGTTCTATAGCGGGGTCCGTTATTCCCATTCCCAAATATCCCGCCCAATGAGGTCTTGCAAGCACCTCCTCCGAGGAATTTCAACATATCCCGCCTCGAAAACACATGCCCAGCCTTGCTGCGCCGATGTAAGACCGCCTAGTGGAACCCCAGCGATTGGTAAAGCACAAAGAAAAATCGAACGCAAGGATTGCCTTGGTGGGGGTGGGGCTGTCGGCGGTGAGGCAAGGACCCGGCCTTGAATATAAAGGGAGGAAGTCTCGAGCAGGGCTGCTGTTGTTGCTGGGAGCGGCGCCAATGCTGAAGAGAGTAGGGCGCTACTCCAACGTAAAACAAAACGGCGTCTCGAGCGGGAGCGCTGGTTTTGTTGGGGCGGCGGCTTTCGGCGGCGAGGAGGAACACCGCCTTGAGTAAGAGGGGAAGAGGCATCGAGCGGGAACCGTGGTTTTGTCGGGACTGGGCCTATCGGCGGCGAGGAACAACACCGTCCCGAGGAAAAAAAGGAAATCTCGAGCGGGAGCGTTGTTCTTGCTGGGAGCGGCGTCCATTCAAAAAAGAGTAGGGCGCCAGCCCAGCGTAAAACGGACGGAAGTCTCGGGCGGGAGCGCTGGTTTGTCGGGGCGGCGGTTTTCGGCGTCGAGGAGGAACACCGCCTTGAATAAGAAGGGAAGAAGCATCGAGCGGGAACCGTGGTTTTGTCGGGCCGGGGGTGTCGGCGGCGAGGAACAGCACCGTCTTCAGGAAAAAAGGGGACGCCTCGAGTGGAAGCGCTGTTCTTGCTGGGAGCGGCGCCAATTCGAAAGAGAGTTGCGCGCAAGTCCAGCGTACAACGGAAGGAAATCTCGGGCGGGAGCGTTGGTTTTGTCGGGGCGCCCGTTTTCGGCGGCGAGGAGGAGCACCGCCTTGAGTAAAAAAAGGAGGACGCCTCGAACGGGAGCGTTGTTTTTGCTGGGGGCGGCGCCGATGAGAGAAAGTCTAGCGCGCCAGTCCGAGGTAAAACGGGAGGAAACCTCGAGCGGGAGCGCTGGTTTTGTTGGGACGGAGGCTTTCGGAGGCGAGCAAAAACACCAGCCCTGAGTAAAAGACTAGGAAATATCGAACGGGAGCGTCGTTATTGTTGGGGGGCCGGTGTTGGCGGCCCCCCAAACCGCTCGAGCGTGAGCCTCATGTTCAATGAAATGTAACCGGCGCCTCGGCGAGAGCGCCAGGGCGCATATAAGGGTTCAACAATAATAATTGTTTAGTAATTCACATTCAACAACAACAGCAACAATCATTCCAAGACTGTTCGCTCTTACTTGCCCGTGTGTCATTCAAAACGAGTTCCCCAAACCCTCGATACCCGCCATTTTTGTCTTCGATCGCACCCCATTTGGGGGGATCCTTTCTCTTTGCGGGGGGCGGCGGGCTTAGACTGGCGGGCGAATTTGAATGGGCGGACAATCCTGCGTGGACGTACATGTGCCCGCCATTGGAATTGGTGTGGGCCCTACAAGAAGAGGATGGGGAGAACGAGGGAGAGCGGGAGGAAGGGAGGGGGAGGGACGAATGAAGAGGGAAAACGCCAGGGCGGTTGATTAGAGGCACAGAGCGAGAGAGAGAGAGAGAGACAGATAAGAGAGGTAGAGAGAGAGAGAGAGAGAGAAATAAAGAAAGAGAGAGAGAGAGAGAGAGGAGAGAGAGACAGAAAGAGAGAAAGGAGGCAGGAGAGGGGAGGGAGAAGGGAGGAGGGAGGGGAGGGAGAGGGGATAGGGCAGAGAGGCATAAGGATGAGGGAAGAGAGGAGGGAGAGAGAAGGGAGGAGAGGAGGGAGGAGGGAGAGGGAGGAGGAGCAGAAAGGTAAGAGCGTGAACATTCGAGGAAATCCAGAAAGCGAAAGCGCCGTTCCTGAAGGAAGTCTCGGGCGGGAACCCACGACGGGCGGGCGATCCCCTGACGGGCGGGTCGTGCGGGTGGGACATTCAAGCGGGATGCCTGAGTATGGCGAGAGCGCGATTCCTAAGTAAATTGTGACGGCGTCCTTGGCGCAGCGAGTTTCCTGAGCGTCGAAACCGCGATCTCTGAATACATTGCATGGAAGTCACAAGCGAAAGCGCAATTCCTGAATCAACTGTGAGGGGTTCTCTAGTGGGAGCGGGGGTCTTGATTAAATTGCGAGGAAGTCTTGATTCAATTGCGAAGAAGTCTCAAGCAAGAGCGCCGTTCCTGAGTAAATTGCAAGGAAGTCTCAGATGGGAGCGGGGGTCCTGACTAAATTGCGAGAGCGTCACAAGCGGGAGCACCGATCCTGAGTAAAATGCGAGGACCTCTCAAGCGAGAGCGGGGGTCCTGAGTAAATCTGGAAGATGTCTCAAGCGGGAGCCGTTGGTGTTGCAATCCGGGGGGGCCAGGGGCACAGTTTGAACACGAAGTTTCTCCTTGCCAAAAAACAGGGTGCGAGCGTCGAGGGGCACACTTTGATTGAGAAACAACAGTATGCACCGGTGAGAGGGGGATCAGCATTAATTGTTTTTTTGTTTAAATATTTTTCCCTCCAAAAACGAGTGTAGGATTTTCAATGCATGACTAATTTATGAATCTATGTATGCATGAGCACATCGTTGTT